TTGGCCGCGTTCAGCAGACACAACTGTTGAGAGAGTGCACAACGATTTATTAATGGCCACCTTCAACAGGCACAACTGTTGCGTGAGCGCTCAGTATGAATGGCCGCGTTCAGCAGACACCACTGTACAGTGAGCGCTCAGTATGCATGGTTAACACTTTTAGATTATTAATATGATTGGCTGGATCTAAAAGTATTAACCAATCATACTGAGCGCTCACTCAACAGTTGTGTCTGCTGAACGCGGCCATTGGCTAATACTTTCAGATCCAGCCAATCATGTTGAGAAATCATTGAGCGCTCACTCAATGGCCGCGTTCAGCAGACACAACTGTTGAGTGAGCGCTCAGTATGATTGGTTAATACTTTTAGATCCAGCCAATCATATTAAGAAATCACTGAGCGCTCACTCAACAGTTGTGTCTGCTGAACGCAGCCATTCATACTGCCTGCGTTCGTTTTCTCCCACCGGGAGCATAAACTATACTGAAAGTCTATAATTTACGTAACGTAAACTATAGAGTTTCAGTACAGTTTATGCTCCCGATGGGAGAAAACGAACGCAAACACTGAGCGCTCACCAACAGTTGTGTTTGCTGAACGCGGCCATTGTGTTTGGGGCCTCTTTCAACGCCGGCGTGGCCGCTCTCAACTTTCCCTATTATATGTCTGTGGTGAGAACTGCGTGGCACTGCCACCAACATGACACAAATAGTTGAACCAAGTTGAACGATTGTAGACGTCAAGTGTCAAAATTTTCATATAATTCGCATAAAAGGAACATTTAATAAGGTTTATCAATGGCGGCGATCGATAAAGTTAAAATTGTCGTGGTAGGCGATTCAGGTAAACACGAGGAAATACGTACTTAGTTCTTTTCAACGTGCAATGCTTTTTTTTTTAAACAAAATATTACCGATATCTAAATATAATATTTTGCTCGAGTGGAGTCAACCGGAATTTGGAACAATTATTGTGATAAACATGTCTTATCGCAATATCTCGTTAACGTGTCTATTACTATTTCGGAGTTCGTAATTTTCGGACGTTAGGTTATGTATATCATCATCTGTCTGGCGCACGTTGTGATCGGGCCCGGTCTGCAATGAGTCAGAAGTCGAAACTGTACGGCCTGGTCAGAGAAAGTGAAATGTTCTCACTTTTCACGAGTTCACGCTAGAGAAAAAGATTGATGATCGAGTCCCAGATGCCAAAACTATATCGGTCCTGTTTCTTTCACCCAGAAAGAAAATGGACCGACATACAGTTCCGACTTCCAAATAATGACTAACAATTCATTGCACACCGGGCCTTGTTGTAAGAAAACCATATTGCTTTTACGAGAGAATTTGTCCGTACGATGACAATAAATATCCTCATCGTTGCAGGCGTCGGTAAAACGTCGCTGACACACTTGATATGCCAACAGCAACCTATCGGCAATCCCTCCTGGACGATAGGTTGCTCGGTGGAGGTCAAGCTGCACGAGTACAAGGAAGGCACGCCGAATCAGAGGAGATACTTCGTCGAGCTGTGGGACGTCGGTGGCAGCCAAAGTCACCAAAACACAAGATCCGTGTTTTACAATCCCACAAACGGTGCGTACACACTTAACAATACGGCTAAACGTATGTTGCCCATTACTTTTGTTCAACAGAACGCGTAATTGTGACAGAATGTGACAGTGATTGCAAATGTATGTCGTTCACAACTAGGCATAATATTAGTCCACGACTTAACGAATCGTAAATCACAGCAGAATCTGCAGAAATGGCTGGAGGAGGTTTTGAGTAAAGAAGGAACTTCTTCAAAGTCCAGGTCGTTCGAAGACTTTGATCCTGAGAAGTTCGTGGGCTCGACGCAGGTGACCAAGAATTTTCCTAGCTATTTGCGCCGCGCTGATGTCAGGTGACACGAGCATAAACGAATAACGCTTGTGTCTTTCAGATTCCAATTTTGGTCATTGGCACGAAGCTCGATCTCATCTCGGAGTCCAATTCTGTAAAATCCAACATACACAGACGTTCCGCGACCATCGCGGAGGAATGTGGTGCCGATGAGATATTCCTGGTAAATATGTCGCTCATTCGGCAAATTCGTCCGGGATTCACATGGGGCGTAGGCTCTTCGAGACACGCGGGTTGCGAAAACCAATCGCAAATCCCTTTAGCACTTCCGTTCGAGTGTCAAGAGAGACTCTAATCTACTATTGGTTTAGTCAGGGTTGGGAAAGTTACTTCATAAAAGTATCTGGGTTACAGTTGCAGTTTTTTTCGCTAAAAATGTAACTGGTTGTAGTTACAAGTTACCAATTCTAAAAAGTAACGAATCGTTACTTTGCAGTTATTTTCTTGCAATGAAAATAAAAATACCAAATCTGCATTTGAATTGTAAGGTGTCGATAAAGGCGTTTGTGCGCAAATTCAAGGCCTAGTGCGATCTGTGGAGATAGAAAAAATATATATAAAGTAACTATTAATGTAACCATCGTATTAGTTGTCGAAAAAGTGTAACTGAGTTAAGTTACAGTTACAGATGGAGAGAAAGTAACGAAGTTAAGTTAGAGTTATCAAAAAAACAAGTAACATACTGTAACTACTTCCCGGCCCTGGTTTTAGTTACGCATTACGCGAAATACGCCCCGTGTGTCGATCCCGATGAACGAAATGACGTAACTTCCGCGAGTTACGCTTTACGCAGGTTACGCTGCACGTGACGGTACCCTCACGCGCTTCGTCTCCACAGGATTGCCGTCAGACGAGATCCTTGGCGGCGGGCTCCAGTTCGTCCGTGAAGCTCAGCAGATTCTTCGACAAGGTCATCGAGAGACGCTACTATTCCTCCAGGGAAGCGCTCAGCCCCGACAAGCGGAGGCTGCCGGTGTACACTTCCTCGCTCTATCCAAAGTTTTATCACAACGACTGAGTACGCCGGGAGCGCTGTACCAGGTCTCGAGGATCTTATTTCGCTTTACGCGGGACGACGAGTCTTGTAACACCAAGTGTTATAGGTTTGCGCGGATTAATGCTGCAGTTTTGCTTTAAGGAAAAGATCATAGACTCCTAAGAACTAACTCGCGAGTAAACTGCAATTCTGTACGTATCAATTTGCAATTTCTCGTAAGTTCGTTCTTACGAAAACAAGTTACGCGAGTCTTACGATCTTGTTTAACTTGCGGCATAAAGAGTGCAAGGCTACTGCATTTCTTATCTACATTCCTAATCTTCCTGTGGAAGCGTCAGGTCATATATGCTCTAAAAGAAGAGAGAGAGAGAGAGAGACAACTGTAAATACATAGTTGCTTTCCTTTTACATGAAAACTCAGATAAATCTGACTTGTGCCGTCATAACTCAGTTGAATGCATGTTCCTTTTGATTCTTGAGAAGTGAGATTCAACCAGATTTAAGGATGTATGTTACTTAAGTTAAAATAGAGGGAAAAAGCTGAAATTTTTACAGAAGTTGTGCATTTATATACCATGAAAACCTGTGATAAATTTTGGATCAATTGACTGATTCGTTTTCAAGTTATTAATTTTTTAAAATCTTATGTGCGTTCCAGACAACACGCTGTCCAAAATAGAAATATAGGGTACCTTTTATAAGACGTCTTATGATGTTACGTGTACAAGATGTCTTAAGATATCTGTAAAATGTCTTATATTCCGATTTTAAACGACATATTGTTTGGAGATTGACAGGTTATGAAACATTTTTCTGTCTGTATGCAGATTATATATGTCAGATTTTTGTTTTTAGCAGTTGGATTCATGGCAAATTCCCAGCCAAAAGTTTTTAACCGCTATTAAGAATATTTATAAATACGCTGTCAATAATTATAAAAAGAGGTTGAAGTTATTTAAATCAGTAAAATTAACATCTTTGTTATAATATTCAATAATAGCCAGCCGTTAAAGTATGCATACAACCGATATATATTGAATTTTTAAGATTACTGTATTTTTTGCTGGGAAGGTATACGTAATACATCCTTAACTGAGTTTTTGCACACGATCAAGGCCGTGTGCTTTAGTGAGTTTAATAGACTCACATTAATGACGTCATATCTGAGTATAAAATACTCACATAACTGAGTGACTCAGTATCACTTAAGTGTAAAAGGAAAGCAGCTAGTATGGATAAAAATATATTAAGCCTCGTGTTCCAAGAACTGTGTCCAAGTTCTATGAAGTCAATCAACTTGCATCTTCAACGGAAAAGCCGCAAGTTGATGGGCTACACATTTCTCGGAGCTGGAACTTGGACGCAAGGTTCAGGCACTCGATATTGTTCACGCGTCTACATTGTAAAGACGCCGCATTGTACATACAATACTTATTTTATAATATAACGTTATGTATAATCCGCTCGATATCTTGTTATTGTATTAACAAAAATTCATGTAACTCGTTACGCGAATGAAATACAAATCTTTGTTAAGTCGATAACAAATCTCGATCTCTCGACGGAACGGAGGGGGGGGGGGGAGAGCGAGCGGACCGAGATTTGAAATGACAACGGTTCTAGGGTGCGGAACGACGCCGACGACGCGGATTGGCCGAGCCGGCGGGCCATAGTTATTTCGCGGCGACTCTCCCGCGATTCCGCTCTGCCGCGCGGCGGGCGGAGTCTTTCAAAAGGCGACGTCTTCCGCGAGCGCGCGCGGGCGGCAGAGGCGCGTGACAGGTGCGCGTGGACGATCCGCAACGCGGCACGTACGTTTCAAACGGACGGGGGAAAGCGGGCCTTTCCTCCTCGCGCCGCAGCCCCGTGAGGCACGACTCCCAGCCCAGGATCCCTCCGCGAGCCCGCGCCCGTCCCGGCTGTTGACGCGCGCGTGAGTACTGAAATTCGGGCGGCACGTGCGCGTGCCTGCCATTTTTTTTTTCGCCCGCCCGTCAAGGTTATCGCGCCCTGCACCATTAATAGACACCGACGAGTAGCGTCGACGATAGTGCGCTCGCCGGAAGCGTCGCTCCTGCCAGATTCGCGCGACTATGGACGACCCCGGGAGCAGATCCCCCCGACCAGCTCGAACGGCGACTACGATCGATCGAGCGGTACCGCTTCGACAGGGTGGACAGAATTGATTCCCGTCGCTTGACATATGGAAAAAGAATAAGATTAGGAATTTGTACAGCCGGAAATTTCGAGCGATTCTCTCGATCGATTTGGTCAGAGCCGTTCGCCGAGCGTTCGAGCGGGCGTGACGCTTCGACGGCCCAGTCGAATCCATTGCTCGTAACGCTTTGCCCTTTACCGCTTTCCAGGTAGCACTCGCCGCGACCATGTCTTATCACCTCGCGAAGAGGTGCGCCAGCGCGAATAATCTCTGCCACGCGTTGACGCGCGCGTGTCCCATGATTTGCGTACGAGGATACAGCTACGCCCGCGACGTAGACGTGGCCCGCCTGAGCGGCGGGCCAGTCGGCGCTCTGAAGCAGAAGATCGCGCGGGGCGAGCTGGCGGGCGACGCGCACCAGACCAAAGTAGCGCAGACCCTGCAGAGAATTTACCAAGAGGTACACGATTACAAGCCGCAGCACTTGAACCTGCTGGAAAAGTGGTTCGGCGGCAAGCGGAGGGACGCGCCGAAAGGCTTGTACATTTACGGAGCGGTGGGCGGAGGTAAAACAATGTTGATGGACCTATTTTACAATTGTTGCCAGGTATCTCTCTGGTTGCTGTTTGCGTAAGCACCGCGCGTGAAAAGCTCGATTGAACGTCTCGATTGTTTCGACGCGACATGTTTTTTTTATTTTTTTATGCAATCTGGAAGCGGAGATAACGTTCTTGTGTAATTTAACGGTGACTCGTTGAGCAGTTGCGAACAGATAGACGTTGCGCAACGAGATATCACGGGAGAGACTTTTAAGTCTGTTGACACAAGTTGAACGACGTAAGAGCGATTTGTCTGGAACGAATGAGTAACCGGGCCGTGATATAAATTGCAGCTTTCCACGCGTGGTACGGGACAGAAGTAAAATTTTCCCACGGTGTGACATAATGCTCCTTCGCGTAAAAATGTTTCAGATTGAGAATAAGAAAAGGGTCCACTTTCACTCCTTCATGCTGGACGTGCACAGGCGGGTGCACGAAGTGAAGAAGACCGTTGTGCGAGATGTCACTAGCACCAAGCTGCAGCCCTTCGACCCGATACCTCCGGTCGCGTCCGACATCGCCGACGAGACTTGGCTGCTGTGCTTCGACGAATTTCAGGTTGAGACCCGTGTTACTCGTTCGGGATAAAGAGACGCCGCTTGTACGGCGCAACTGTAAATACAAGATCAATGAGAACGGACGCGTTGCAGGTGACGGATATCGCGGACGCTATGATACTGAAGCGACTGTTCACGGAGCTGTTTGACAACGGCGTGATAGTGGTCGCGACTAGCAACAGATCGCCGGACGATTTGTACAAGAACGGGCTGCAGAGGGGCAACTTCGTGCCGTTTATAAAAGTGCTCAAGGATCGCTGCCTCGTCAGTAACCTGGACTCCGGGATCGATTACAGATTGAAGTCGGGTTCCGGGGACAAAAAGATATACTTCATGTATGTAGAAATGCGCGATAGTTATCTGTTGTCGTCACCGTTTAACGAGCCGTATAAAATTACACAAGAAAGGGCAAGGACGCGGCGAACGACGTGGACAAGGTCTTCAAGTACCTGTGCTCCATGGAAAACGACGTGGTGCGACCGCGCACGATCTCTATAAGGGGGCGCAACGTCACTTTTCGGAAAACCTGCGGGCAGGTGCTGGACTCCACGTTTGAGGAATTGTGCGACAGGGTGAGACCAACTTCCGCCCCGCGAAGTATATGCACTTGACTTAAATGATACGTAATGCGTCTATTGTTCTCCGCGCAGCCTCTCGGAGCGAGCGACTATTTGGAGTTGAGTCAAGTCTTTCACACGGTCATAATAAGAGACGTCCCTCAGTTGAATCTACGACTCAAGTCTCAGGCCAGGCGATTTATCACTCTAATTGATACACTGTACGATAACAGGGTAAGAATCGACGGGGCTTAAATTATAAGGTCTGTTCGCGTCGCACGCCCTAACATGCTTCCTGCTTGCCCCAACCACCAATACCGTCACTTAAATTGTAAGTAAAATGGCAGTATTGGTCGTTGGAGCAAAGAGGAGCACGTGGGGCATGCGACGCGAACAGACCAGACTACGACAATTGCGGTTTGAAACATCAACACGTAAAAAAGTTATACGGTACTAAGAATTTTGATAAGAGAGAAGAGACGGGACTTTGGCTATGAACATCAATCCTCCTCCTCTATAAAAAAAGGCATGAAACGTTCGTATTGCTGCCGCTTTTCCGCGATGCCGATTAGCGCATTCGCGTGACAGAAGTTTTATATTAACTCACACTCATGGTTTATATAAAGAATTATATAAAATTATATGTCAAATTGTAGTCTCCTCCTCTCCTCATGTTAAGTCGATAGTCGAAAGTTTCTAAGTATTGTCGTTTTTTCGAAATGCTGACTGGCTGTCTCGCTTGTGCGATACATACTTCAGTCGTGTTATTTGTAGCTGTTAAACCATGCGAATGTTCAGAGAGAGCAAATGGCGCGCGCGAAGCGCGCGCTTGTGTTGTCTAGCGTGCACAAATAACGAAGGTTTATGTAATTGTAGGTACGAGTAGTTATGTCGGCAGCTGTACCACACACGCAATTATTTTTATCGGAAAGCGAGTCCGAGTACACCGACGAGAAGCGGATGCTGATGGACGATTTGAAGATCTCGCATGGCTCGGTATGCGCCGACCTCGTCAAGCATTTTTAATTTAACTTTAAAACAATTTTTCACATTCGAATTAATCAAGCGTCGATCGATGGATCGGGAAATAAACAGGCGGGGGTGTGTCACAGTCTAGCATAACAACGTAGCAGTCTAGTCGATTACGTCACGTTAACATATTTCAATTGATTGAAGTCCTCAAAGCGGCGCGAATCTCCCGCGCGTGGAAATTTATATTGCGCAAATTTTTCAGGAGGATCACAAGGCGAACATCTTTACCGGCGAGGAGGAGATCTTCGCGTTCGATCGCACCGTGTCGCGTCTGGCCGAGATGCAGACCTCGCAGTATTGGGAGCAATGGGAGCACCACAGATAATGATAGTTTTAAAACTAGCGCAAATAGATAGCTCCGTAGCTCCGTACGAGGTTCAACTCGGTTCAGGGCTAACGAAGCTGCTAGTATTTTTGACGATTGTCACTCTTGCAGAACGATCTCTCGCGCGGGCAAGTTACTTGAGCTCTCGTCGAGTGCGCGCGTCTCACTCGAGGCGTAACTTTCGCGCTTTCTCAGTATTTTCTCTCTCAGGGGGGGACGAAAGCTCCTCGGGTTACCTCTGACGTTAAACTATTTATATCATTATTTATGAGCGTGAAGACACATGGCAATCGCCAAACCGTAATACAAAACGTACGTTTGTATCTGTGTGTGTACATATGCAAAAGTTATAATTACATGAAATTTTGCACTCATGACTTGCGTGTTGATTACTCGCTTCTCTGCTACACCGCGATAGTGTTGGAGATCACGGACCTCGCGCAGCTTTCAAGTTCGCTGCTGTAATGGCCTTGCATTCGGTAATTTTGATATCCGCGGCACAAACCCGACATTTGGTTATCAACGATCGGTAATATCGATATTTCAATTATCGTCCTATCCAGCAAGGTCACAAACAATACAACACATGGCAGACGCGCGCACACACATACGGAAAAAAATCTGTATCGCAGCTTACATTTCTCCGAGCAGGTGACTGAGAGCGACGATAAAAACACAAAATAAACTCACTTCGTTCCCGAAAATCGAAAGACACGAGAACTTACCGGCACTCGAAGCGATAGTTATTCCCGATGCTGAATGTGCAACGCGTGCAAAAATCTTGGTCGCGCATTACGAACGTCTAGCTCTGTATCATTCTGTGACTTGTGCTTATCGCCCTTATCGCCTGTAGAGAAGATAACTGGAAACGCAGATCACGCAGGGACATATTTGGAGGGATACGATAATCACGTCGACCTAACGGAGTGTTTGCGGTTATTTTCGTACAAGCTCGTCCGAGTTTTTCCCTCGAGATCATGGACAGCTCTCCGGTGATCTTTCAAATGAGCGACTCGATCCAGGGTAAATTAATTCATCCCGTAATTCTGATCCTACATAATTTCACGACATTCGAAACATCTGTTCAAGTACATTTCTACAAAGTACATACTAGGAATACGTAATAAGAATTTTTACAAGTGAAATAAATACACGTTATATTTGAATTTCACTCTTCAGCCTGGCTAAAGTTCTTGGAGGTGTACATTAACGAGCCGGCAATAAACAAAAGCGTGCGACAAATAATCCATTTAGCGGATATGATAACAGGGGACAACAGAATAGCTTGGTTATTAAAGGCAATAAGTTTCATTGATTTAACGTCTTTGAGTAACGACGATACGAGCACCATTATTGAACAGTTGTGCAAAACGGTAAGTTGGAGCGTGAAATTACCCTTTAGCGCGAGTAACTGGTTGATCAATTAATATCTTGCAGGCCGCCAAACCCATAGACAAGCTACCGTTTCAGTGGAATAAACCGCTTCACACAGCTGCTGTTTGTGTCTATCCGTCCAAAGTGAAAGACGCAGTAACTACTTTGAGGAAATTGAAGAATACTTCTGGAGTTAAGGTTGCTAGTGGTAAGAAACGAAGCACTTCTTCCGACCTGGGGTTTGATCGCGAGTCATTTCCTCTGGCGCGAAGTCGTGAAAAGTGGAAAACTTCATTGACGAATACTGACCTTGTCAATGAAATTTTTCGCTTTTCACGAATTCACGCTAGAGGAAAAGATTCGTGATTGAGCCTGATGTGAATGTAATGTTATCTGGGGCTCGATCATGAATCCTTTTCTCTAGCATAAACTCGTAAGCGAAAAGTTTTATTAACGAATTCAATATTTGTTAATGAAAAATTTCGCTTTTCACTGGTTCACATCTGATATAATTTTTGTGTCTCAGTGGCAGCAGGATTTCCCTCTGGACAATACCCACTGGAGACTCGGCTGCAGGAAGTACGCTGCGCCATAGAATACGGTGCAGAGGAAATTGATGTTGTGATTGACCGATCGTTAGTTTTAAATCACGAATGGATAAAGCTGTACGATGAGCTGGCGGCCATTCGTTCAGCATGCAACGAGAACGAGCGGAAAAGTATATGTTTAAAAGTTATAATATCATCGGGGGAATTGTTTAATTTGAAAGATGTGTACAAAGCGTCGATGGTGGCTCTGTTTGCTGGCGCGAATTTCATCAAAACGTCCACAGGGAAAGAGGTAGTTAATGCGACACTACCGGTGGGCATTGTTATGTGCAGAGCGATAAAAGAATACGAAAGATTGACAACACAAAAGGTACAGTAGCTTAATAATCTTTACGATGATCGAAATCATATAAATATATATTTTTTTAATTTTCAGATTGGTTTTAAGCCCGCCGGAGGTATCAAGACTGCACAAGAAGCTCTAGAATGGATGGTTTTGATTAAAGAAGAATTGGGGAGAGATTGGTTGACAAACGATCGTTTCAGGATCGGTGCATCTAGCTTACTACAAGACATTGTCGCTGACATCAATAAAACGTTTGAAAGTGGTCTTAAAGAGGAAGCCAGTGAAGAAAAGATATCGAAAAACTAAGAAAAAAGGATGAACAAAGAAGAAAAAATAGCGGACCTCAGAGATTCAATTCTGATGACAGTGATATTTTCATATTGTTTTTATAATATACTAGTTTTTATATTTGCAATTTTGTCTACTTTGCACACTTAAATAAATTCAATATAAATAAATTTAATTTTAAGATGGTCTAAGAGTTAACTAATTTAAAAAGTCACCCGACACTAAAGGCAATCTTGGCTCAACTTTGTAAGTTATAAATTGTAGATACGATTGCTCTCTTGAAAGATAATCGGTAAAGATTTTCTTACGAAGCGACTGTAAATCGTGCGAGGTTAAACCAGATAAGAAAGCATGCGAACTAGCCGTATATTGACATTGTTGACTGAAGTTGGCATGACGTGATATTTTTATGCACTTGCAAGCTATTAAGTTAGACAAATGGCCAACCATAGTTTAGTAGAATATTGTATAAACAACACGGCGTAACCAATCGTCTAATTCTAATTAATAAACTATTAAATGTGTCACTAATCAGGTTGCAATCAATTGAAATACGTTAACATGGCGTAGTCGATTAGACTGCTACGTTTTTATGCTTGATTGTACACTGTGACACCCCCGACCTATTTATTTCTTGATCCATCGATCGAACGCTTTAATTGAATATGAAAATTTCTTTTAATTAAAGTTAACTTAAACATTTTTACAATTAAATAGTATTGTTAATATTATTTTAGTCAAATAATGAAAGTCTTTGTAACATTTGTCATAAATGTAATCTTTTCTTATGCGCTTTCTCTCCCTCTATCTCTCTTTCTTTTAAAGAAAAATTGCTTATGATTAACACAAACACCAAAAAGATTGAGTGTATTGATTTCAGTAGCAAAATACTTATCATTAATAACATTAAATATTTAAATAATAAATTATAAACAAAGATAGAAAATGTATTGTAGACTATTATTTTATAGATTACTATGTTATCTTAGTTTTTATATGCGGCTACGTCGACTGCCGACATATTTTTACTATGATTAGGAAATCTCTCGCAATACTTTGAGAAAAATACGAGTAGTGCAGGATACGTCAGAGCGGGCGATATCGCGACGCCCATGCTTCTAAATATATCGATCAGTAAATAGATTCTACATAATTGACATACTTGGTACACATAATACCGCTGCGGACACGTAAATACGCGCAAGTGTCTCGTTAAAATCATCTCAATTTTATTCTGTCTAACTGACGTGACGCAACCAAGATGTAAAAATCGCAAATAATCGGCGATTATTGTTAGATTTAGAGTCTGATCGGATATTATTGCGTTAACACTATAAGAAATGACTTATTTGTTAAAGCGATATCCGATAATCGATATGCAGCGTAACTGTAATTTAAATTCATGAAAAAGGAGTGTAAAGAAAAAAGATTGTGGCGCAGTAGATCTAGGTTTTTTTTCACTTTAACGCACCGTAATCGAATTTCATTAAAAATCGCATTTACAAATGTCGAAGATTTGCGCAAGAATCGAAACTGTTCCCAGATATCACGCGTATCCAAAGACCATATCAAAGTTGTCTTAAAAATGTTGTTATCTGAGCAAACGCGATCGGTGTAATGTGGAGTTCAGTTCTTTTTGTATACATGAGTCGTACAAGAAACATTCAGTTTATACATAAAACAACAAGTGGAGATCCAATTCGTTCATTTAAAGTTCCAATTATTGCAATAATCCTCAGACAACTCTATAATCGTTTAAACTCCCCACAAAATATCCCATTATATAATCACATTTTAATCATTCATTTGTACTTTTCTTATCGCATCGATATATCAGCTTCAATCTTTTGCGCTTTTTCTACAAATGGAGAATTTGAAAGACGCAAGTTTGGGTCCTTCTCCTCTCGCGTGCGTCGTTCCACTCAGGACCCCGCTTGGGCGGAGGCGGGCGTGAAATCGCCACCGGAAATCGAGGCTCAAATCCAATATAGATCGATCAGTAAATAGACCTCGAGCCGGAGCGCGAGCGGGCCGCGTCATCGGCCCGCTCGTGCCCCTCGCGTAGTATTTGCAGCTTGCAAGCTCCGCCGGCGTCTTGCCCTCTGGCAAAGCCTGCCGTGGCACCGTTTCGGCCGCATTGCGCCGGGCAACGGCCGGGGCCCCGGCCCGTCCTTCCGTCACCGTCGCCTTTATTCCGCGCTAGTCGCACGGCTCGCCAACGGCTCTCCTCCAGCGGCCGTTCCGCGCGGGCGTTTCGGCCGTGCCACGCAAGACAGCGAATGCGGTGAGTCCCCCGTCCGGATCCGCGCGCGTGCATGGCACACCCCCACGTCCACGCCGCGCCACGCGCGTCGCACCCGATCGGCCGCCCCCCCGGGCCCCGGGACTCGCCCGAGGAAACCCGTGCCCCGGCGCTATAGCTAGGCCTCTCGGCAATTAATATACACAACACCGCCGAGGCAGGATATGTACCGTACCATCGGCACATACACCACCTCGTCATACACTCTATATTCGGACACCGCCGCTTCCGGGTCGGCATTCGCGGGATTCGCGCCGCGGCCTGGCGAAGCGCGCCCGGGAGAGCAGCGGAAGGGAGAGATCGCGCGGCGTATCATCCGTCCGGGATCACGCTACTTGGGCCCGGTTTCACAAAACGTCGCTTAACTTTAATCTTGGATTAACTCCTGTTTGTCTCTCTCTCTAAAGTAACAGTTGGAAAGAGACAAAGAACGAATTAAGCTAAACTTAAAGTTAAACAACGTTGGTGAAACCAGACCTTAGGCCCGGTTTCACAAAACGTCGCTTAACTTTAATCTTGTTTTAATTCATGTTTGTTTCTCTCTAAAGTAACTGTTAGAAAGAGACAAAGGACGAATTAAGCTAAGCTTTCAAGTTAAACGTTGGTGAAATCGGACCTTAGGCCCGGTTTCACAAAACGTCGCTTGACTTTAATCTTGGTTTAATTCATGCTTGTCTCTTTCTAAAGCAACAGTTGGAAAGAGACATAGAACGAGTATTAAAGTTAAGCGACGTTGGTGAAACCGGGCCTTACGAATTAATTTGCGAGAGAAAAAGATTCTGGGCTGTACGACTTTTTGTACGAAAGCAGAAGCGTTAAAGTCCCCGGAGATAAGCTCCAAATATGAGATAGAGGGGTTTCTGCTAAATCGATAGGCATCATCTGTTAGTTTCACCATGAATTTATTGTCCGCGAAGTGAAATCTTTTCCTCCAGCGTGAACTCGTGAAAAGCGAACAATTTTATTGACCAATATCGAATTCGTCAATTCAAATCTTTTACTTTTTACGAGTTCACGCTGGAGGAAAAGATTCGCGATCGAGCCGCAGGGACCGAAATTGGAATCGCGATACTGCTTGTGTATCATCGCGGATAAATGCACAAATCGTGGAAATAATTTTCCCCAGCAGCGGAATCTAAATATATCGAAGTCACGACGGTTTTCCGATTCTTGCGGCAAAGCTCACGGCATTCGCGAATGCACTCTCGCTCGACGATGTTTTTACTTTGCAACGAAAAAGTAACGCGTTGTGCACGTTAGTAGGTTTATTTCAGCAATATTGACTCGGCAAGTGCGCTCGAAGCAACACGGAGACATCATCGATCATTCGGCAACGACGTTCGATTTCGTCACATGTTGTTCGCCCGTCGATTAAAGTCTATTCGCCGGCTTGAATTCTATTTAAGATTTATGACTGTATTTTTAGACATATCTTGGCGCTTCGCGTAACCGGAATCGTTGACCTCTCTCTCTCTCTAAATGACGCACATTTTTCACCAGGATATATAGTATTATTTGCCTCCTCGGTTGCATTCGTAAACAATATTAAAATAGCACTGGGAATTGCAAAAAGCCCGTATCCGACATTCGCGTCGCCGTAATTGCTACGTCGTGTCGAAATCCTGTTTTATTCGAATCTTATGTAACGTAACATTCAACTCCAAAACTCGAAGTATTTGGATATTGCCGAGGAGTAAACCGCTGACCAAAATAGTGTACACCAATGCCTACACTGATAAAAAAAATATCTTAATCAAAAAAACTATTTACTCAAGAAAATTATTCATTAGGTGGTTCTAATAGCTTATTAACTTGAATTTAAAGAATAATAAACAAATTGAAACATGCATTTCTTTAATTTAAGTATTTATTAAATATTATATCAAACCGTATATAATTTTAAATTAAAAAAAATTTTACTTTAATGCTATAAAATGTTTACTAAGATATAAGTTTTACAGCGAAAACAATTGGATTTCTTATTTGACAAAAACAATGATTTCGTTTAATAAATAGTATTCTCTATTTCATAAAATCTTTAGTTAAATGTAGAAAATGTAATGATTTAAATTAATTTACTTAATATAATACACAGATTTACTTAAAATTTGATATTTTTATTTAAATAAAATAAATGTTTACTTCAGTAAAAAAAATAATTTTAAGTGAATCTATTTGCTTTGTTTAAAAAAAATGTTGTCAGTGTACTAATGCCCAGTGGGCATTACTTTATCTTGCTATCTTATTTTACCTTATTTCTCTCGTTTTATCTTATTTTATTTTTATAATGCCCCAGCAAGTCCTAATGCCCAAAGTAATGCCCAAGAAATGCCTGGTAATGCCGCAAATCTGTACACCACAATGTCCTCACTGGTTCACCCCTCGGATATCGCCGACATTTATGGCGGACCGGGGAGAATATTACAGGGCGACGCGCGTGATAAAAAAATTAATTTTTGTTCGATTACCAAAGGACCGCGTGTACAGAATTCGAGGAATATTTGTGATATAATCGATGAAGCCAGGCAAGCGGCACGCAGTGCGCATCGCATGCGAGACATGTTGTTAGCATTCGTACCGGCTATGCAGCCTGAAATATTGCGTGCTGCGTGCTGCTATGCGTGCTAGCACGCTACTTTTCGGTAATAAGCTCGGTGCTATTTTCACCACGTGGTTTGCTGCTAACTGATGACGATACTACGGATACAGCGACACAAAGACGTGAAAAATAAAAATAATGATAGGGCGTACGTAAAGAATGCCACGATCGCTCGTATTTTTTTCTTCTCAAGTCGCATGTGACTCCAATTTAAAATGTTTATCCGGGCACAAGAATTTTCTTAATAAATAATAATGTATTACATTTTTACTCATTTTGTTAGTTGTATTAATGGACTATGAAATCGATCATAACGTCCAGAATCCTGCGAAAAGAACATGTTATTGATACTTTATCACCTTGCGGTAAAAATAGACCCGTCAGACACATGTAATTTCAGATGTAGAGCGTCATGGCAATCAGCATAAAATTTACAAAATTTGACAACACACCATGGGGCTTTCGTCTAGCTGGTGGCAGCGATTTTCCGCAGCCGCTTACCGTTATCAGAGTGAGTTCCCTACTTTTCCTATCTAACGATTACTGATGCTAATGAGGACGTTAAAATTCACGAGATTATGCTTCGAGTAATATTATTAGCAAGGTTGGGAAGTAACTCGTTATTTGTAACAAAGTTAGTTACTCTTTTTTGATAACTCTAACTTAACTTCGTTACTTTCTCCCCATTTGTAACTGTAACTTAATTCAGTTACACTTGTTCGATAACTAGTAACTAATTTAATAGTTGCATTAATAGTTACTTTATATATATTTTAAACCTCCACCGATCGCATTAGGCCTTGAATTTGCGCACAAACGCCTTTATCGACACCTTACAGTGTTCAAATGCAGATTTAATATTTTATTTTCATTGCAAGAAAGTAATTGCAAAGTAACGATTCGTTACTTTTTGAGTAACTGTAACTGTAACGCGTTACTTTTCAGAATTGGTAACCTGTAACTTATAGTTACATTTTTAGCGAAAAAAATTGTAACTGTAACTAGATACTTTTATAAAGTAACTTTCCCAACCCTGATTATTAGCTTGCAAACGCGGAATATAAAATAAAACGTAGCAGCTCCTTGAAGTAATTAATAATTTCATTATTTAAAATATTTGTTATTTTCATCATTACTGTCAGCGATTACATCTAAGAGCCAAAAGAGTAAGAATAAAATCAGAATTGAGAGACTCGAGCGGAGTATTTTCGAAAAGGAGCAGGGAGTCGATTCTGTATCTTGCTACATAGTGAGGACACTAAAAGTCAGCGGCATTCTAAGGGAACAGTTAGAAAGAGACAGAGCTACTCACTTTTAGCATTTTCACTACAGTGTACAGAATTGAGCCACAGGGCGTAAAACGTGAACGTGATCTACAGGTCTCGGAGGGAAGCCTGGCCGAATGTATGGGTCTGAAGGTCGGCGATGTCGTCGTAAGATTGAACGATCAATCGATCAGCAGCTTGACTCACGGACAAGCGCATGAAGCATTAGTGCACGCCGGCAACAATTTTGTTCTGGCTGTGCAAAGGTAAGTCTCTCGCGTGGATCATCAATTACGAGACAGCGAAAATTCAGTAATATCTTTCATGCGATCTCCTTTGGAATTCGAAACACTGTAAATACACGCGTTTACGTAAGAACTTGCAACGTACGAAAGAATAAAAATTGCGTCCCTGTATAATTTCTTGGATTATATCATTCGAAATGTTTCGATGGCCAATACTCGTTCAACAAGTAAATCTTTTTCATTCGTTAGAAGTCACCTAGAAATTACAGATGAAAAATTGGCTTTACACCGCTGGGCTGTTCACAGAACGTACAAGTTAATTAGATTCGTGTTTACACGTAATGTTTACATTGTGTATTGACGAAACAGGAAATGGAGATAAATGGCGCCCAAGTGCGACGGTTGCACCGCGGCCAAGACGACTGAGCGGGTACATAAATGCAACAGCTATGTCGACCGCGGCTCGCATAAATTAGGTCCTTGTCCCATACGGTCTCTCCCGGGAGAAATCGCTCTTAACCAATATTAGTTCTCGAGTTTATTCATATTGAAATTGCGCCATGTGTCGAAACGGCGAACAAAATACTTTCGATAGACGCGCAATCTGTCACGGAATTCCGATTATCTATTTTTCTCCCGCTGCTGCATACGAAAGCCTAATCTACAATGTGCTCGCTGCGTCTAGGAGCATTCTATTTTGTAGCCAATAAAGACGTTTAAAAAATTTGCGCAAGTTGATAAATTGTACATCGCATAATCGTACATTGTCGGCCAATTTTCTAAGCGTTTCGATTTGTTTGCATAATGTAGAATGTTTCTAGATGCAGAAAGCACATTTTAGATCAGGCTGAAAGATTGAACCTTGGCATAAAATGTATTATATGTATGCAATGAAAAAACCTAATACAAAATAAAATATTTAAAATACGTGAATAATTTTTAAATGCTATGCTACTTCTGTGACCGGCGGGATTAATGTAATAAACATGGAGATATCTCGAAAGTGCGGAAGAACTGCCGAGGCTAGCGAATTCTTTCGGTCACCTTACATCGCTACCAAGATCGGATTTAATTTCGGATCGCGACAGCCGAAGGCTGTAATCGAATTTAATGAGTCCTCAAGGATCTCGCGGCTAACGAAGTGTACCGGGCGGCGCTCGTCATTCGTCGCCGGCATACCCTCGATAATAACTTCGGCGACGCACGGCAAGAATATCCCGGCGTATGAGCTACGTGTGTGGCAATGTATTGCGACATCTATAAATAGGTGACCCAGAATGAGAGATCTGTTTATCATTGGTCGGCGATTTTATTGCTGGTCCCCGGTCGCGCGCGGTCTCTTTGCCGTTTGTCGCATTCGCGAGATCCGCTATCCGCGCGGAGAACGAGATAGCGAGAGAGACCCAACCCGCGCAACCCGGAATCCGCGCGCGCGGTGCACTCGGCGTATAATCCGTATCCGCGCGCATTAATCCGCACCGATCGCACCGCGAGCGGGAGAAAGTCTATTTTCTTGGTCGCTGTGTTTGTTGCTTGTGCAGAGAGGAGGAGGCACGAAAGGCAGCCGAGGCGATATCGGAAGAGAACATCGTCCCATATAAGATCGCTGTGAGTATATCCGTGAGATGAAAGGTAAACAGCATCCCCCTGTTGCGCTCTTAACCGGTGACAAGGGCCACGCGACTCTCTTCGACGTTCACTTCCGTCTACTTCCCGGAGCACGTCCGGTTCTTCTCTCGCGTTCGCGAAACTTGAACATCTCTCGCGCCTGAGTTTTTCAAGAGAAAGAAACTTCTCCCCGAATGGATTTAAAAATATGTGAGAAAGAGACAAGTGCGTTCGCATTAACCGAGCAAGAGAAGAATCGAGTTATGGTCACATCTTCCCCCATTTCAACAGATAAGAATTGTTTAAAATTGAAACAGAATATCTGTTGCGAAGCAGACAATCTTATAGAACTAGAAAAACTTTCACATCCCGCCACGAAAATTTGTTATATCACGATTCTTAAAATATCTTACTCGTTATACTGAATTAACTAACGCGAATGCTCTGCTCGTAACAGCACCATTCCTATTTGTTTCCCACCTACGATTTTGAAAAGTTCACGCTATTTTTCACCGGAAGTTAAAACCTCGCTTTCATCGGGGAAAATCTTTGATCTCGAATCCGCTTGACATTTAAAGAGAGATATGGTGTACCAGAGAAAGTGGCGACGAGATGATGACGTCGAGTTTGCTTATTAGCTTGCAGACTTACCGCCGGTCTTCCCAGAAGAGATCTTACAGGGGGAGACAGTGATCGAGCGGTACGAAGAGGTGAGTACCGTCGCCGAGCCGTTATCCGCCGAAGACGAGGCCAGGGAAGAGGAGAAGAAGCTCGCGGAGGAGAAACCGGTGGACGCCAACAGCGAGATCGTGCTCAACAAAAATCTCACGGATGACGAGATCGCTCAGCTGATCCTCGAGGAGGAGGAGCTCTTGTCTGACAAAGGATTATTAGGGTACCTACATTTCCATGCTGGCGAGTCAACTGGAGATAAAACCGCGCGATTCAAGATTCATCTTCTTATCATCTTTTTCATCAAAGGAGCTCGAGCAAATTTTTCTTAATAATTAATCGACAACTTTTTGGAAAATTAAAGAATCTTAAGCAGAAGTTCTAAAAACTGTCAGGGTATATATTCACATTAGTGATTAAAATTCGGAAACTTTGTTCATTGCAGAATTGTCAGTTTAAAAGTAATAAGTAAAGTCAGCTGCGCGAACGTCCTTGTATATATTATCTACGAATTTGATATATTACTATTTAGTGTTAAGTAAAATACAGACAGTTCTTTTCAATAATAATAATAATAACTTTTACTCACTCGCGTTTTCGATTTCCAATCGACAGAGTAAACTTCAAAAAGTTAAGACCGCGAGCCTCGATTCTGAAAGACTCGAAGGTTCTGGAGGAGCTGCAGCACATCGCGATAGCCGAGCCTGAGAGGGTGCAAGAGCTGAAGCACACCTCCACCTTCCTCCAGAAGCCACAGCGACCGGTGCCAAAGTTGAAGAACGAGTCGAAGGTTGAAGAGGACGAGGGGGAGACTTACAAGGTCGTGATCAAGAAACAGGACAAGAAGACGGTAATCGCGCGTCTCGTGGAGAAGGGTCTGCTGCCGCCAGGCTCGGAGGCGACCATCGCCAGGACACCGGAACCGCCGGAACCCTCTGAGGTAAAGATGCATGAAACGGAGAAACTCGAAGAAAATCGTCCCCCTGCCGTGTCCGATTCAAATTCCTCGTGTTCAACCTGCTCTCACGATAACACCGACGCCCCATTGTTGCCCGCACGTCCTCCGGAATCCGATTCGAACGAATTTCTCACCTCTGACGATCAACTGGCGCGTCAAGCGACATATAAATGCAAAGCGGTCTTTCACGTCAAGTCGAATCATCCTCGAAGATACAGTCCCGCCGGCAAATACGACGAAATCGCAGCGAGATCGCCTTTTAAAGATCGCTGTTTGGAGAACGTCCTTCGTGATTACGCTCGTCCCTGCGTTCTTCGCGATCGACAAGTCGACGAGTTCGAGGAGACTAAATCGGGAAGCGTGCACTTCAGAAAATATGATTTGCTAAAAAACATTGGCCTCGATGGCCTTTTGTCAAGCGAGACCAGAAAGAGGACGAGCAGATGCGCGCGAGCACATTACGCGGAGAGGATTCTATTTCGAAATGTCAGCGCTGTCGCTAGACACTTTCGTTCAAAGCCGAAGAGGACTCGCGTCCTCGCCTCCAGAATGAAGGGAAGATATTTAGCGACATATCTGAGACGCGAAAGCATCCGGCTGATGTCCTTGATTACGACATTGTTCCAGTTTTTGTTGCAGAGACCAGGCGTCTGCGAGTTGTCAAACTTGTCAAAGATTCACGAGCGACGTTTGAGCTTCAAGGGTCGCTACCTTGAACACGTTCTTCAAAAGAATGTCGCTCCTATTCTCGAACACGTCCAGGAGACATGCCTCGCTGATGATCAACTGAAGATGACCGAGATGAAAAAGGACAGGCCGAAATCTACAAGAACGAAGGGACGTTACGTGGAGAAGTGTCTCCATCGGCAGAATCTGCGTCTGAGGTTCGCGTTGACGAGCCTTCTTGCTTACGTGAAGAGCAGCCTCGATAATCTCTTCATCACCACCACATCACCGAAAATGAAACGCACGATGAGAGGTCGATACTTCGAACGGCTGGTTCGCAGAAATCTCAAGATTCTTAAACTGTTTGTGGAATACGTTCGTTCCAGAATCTCCGAATGGCTCGCCGGGGAAGGTTTGTTGTGCATATCACAAAATGAGCTTCTTGTCGTCACTTCCAATTGCACTGTCGATGATGCGATTCCAAGCGAACAGCAAACTGATAAAGGCGCCTCGGACTCAAAGATCTCCGAGTGGCACGAAAACGGTCCGTCCTGCCCGTTGCAAAAAGAATCGCCCCTTGTCATTAATTCTTCCGACAATCTGGACAATCCGAACCAAGAAGAGATTGCCGAAAGTGGTCACAATAATCCCGAATGGAATAGCAATCCGGTCTCGTTCGAAGAAGTCGATAAGTGTCCCGGCTCGGCCAAGCCTACGGACATGATCACAGAAGAGAAAGAGGATGATACTCTTTCAAAGTTCTTGCAGTCGGCCGAGGATTACGTTTCCACCGAGGTCTTTCACCGTGGTAGCAGACGACTCTCAAAGTCGCGCAAATCTGTCGATATCACCTCCAAAGAGGACGGAGAGGATGATAAGACACTCTCGAAATTCCTACAATCGGCCGAGGATTACGTTTCCACCGAAGTCTTCCATCGTGGTAGCAGACGACTCTCGAGATCACGTAAATCCATCGACGTCATCCCCAAAGAGGATGATAAGGCCTTTTCGAAATTTCTGCAGTCGGCCGAGGATTACGTTTCCACCGAAGTCTTCCATCGTGGTAGCAGACGACTCTCGAGATCACGTAAATCCATCGACGTCATCC